GCTTTAAAATTTTTGCTAGTCTGATAGAGGAGAAATGATATCTTAATGTTGTTTAATTTGTATTTCTCTAAATCATGAGGCACTTTAAACTATTTGTGTGTGTCTGAGTGCCTTTTTAATGACACTTAGGAGGAGGGGTGAGTTCTCTGTCCATGCCCCACCCCCTCATTTTTCTATTGAGGTTTTGGTCCTTTGTTTCTCGATTTTTAAGAGTTCTTTATATATTAAGGATATTACCCTTTTGTCTGTGGTATATGCTGTGAAAATTTCTCTCACTTTGTCAGCTGTCTTCTGACTTAAAAAAATTTCATCTCTATTTATTTCTTCTGAGCTTGTTTTGAGGTCCAAGTTTCTACTGTGTAATTTCCCTTCTCCCTCGGGAACTCCTGTTCACATCTCTTGCAGGGCAGGTCTGCTAGTGATGAAGTCCCTCGATTTTTGTTTGTCTGAGAAGGTCTTACTGCTTCAGTGGTGAAGGCTGGTCTCCGGGGACACGGAGCTCTAGGTGGTGAGCTTCTCCATCCTCACTTGAGATGTCTCACTCCACTCTTCTCTCGCTTATATGGCTTCTGGAGAGCGGTCCAGTGTAATTGTTAATTCTTTTTTTATTTTATTTTATTTTTTGGCGGTACGCGGGCCTCTCACCGTTGTGGCCTCTCCCGCTGCGGAGCACAGGCTCCGGACGCGCAGGCTCAGCGGCCACGGCTCACGGGCCCAGCCGCTCCGTGGCATGTGGGATCTTCCCGGACCGGGGCACGAACCCGTGTCCCCTGCATCGGCAGGCGGACTCTCAGCCACTGCGCCACCAGGGGAGCCCAATTGTTAATTCTTGTTCCTCTATGGGTAAGGCACTATTTTCACTCCTTTTAAGATATTCTCTTTGTCTTTGGTCTTCTGCAGTTTGAATATGATAGGCCTAGGTATAATTTTGTTTTGTTGGTACTGACTTTTTATATGGTGTTTTTTGTCATGAAAATTAAAATTTTAACGTAGTCAAATTTATCAATCTTTTACTGCCTCCGGATTTTGAGTCATAGTTAGAAAGCCTTTCTTTATGCCAAGGATAAAGAAAAATTCACCCATACTTTCTTCTAAAACTTTTATGGTTTCATGTTTTAAATATTTAGACTCCTAATCATTTGAAGCTAATTTTTTGTCTACTGTGAGATACTGATCTAATTCCAAATGGCCACCCAATTGTCCCAGCACCTTTATGAAAAGGTCCATCTTTACCCCAATGATCTGAGATGCCACCTTTATCAATACTACATTTCCATAGTTACTCATGTCTACTTCTGGACTTTCTTTTTTATTCCACAGTTCTATTCGCCTATTTGCGTGCCAGTGCCACACTGCTTATTTTAATTATAGAGGCTTTACATAATGTTTTTTTTTTTTTTTTTTTTTTTTTTTTTTGCGGTACGCGGGCCTCTCACTGTTGTGGCCTCTCCCGTTGCGGAGCACAGGCTCCGGACGTGCAGGCCCAGCGGCCATGGCTCACGGGCCCAGCCGCTCCATGGCATGTGGGATCCTCCTGGACCGGGGCACGAACCCGTGTCCCCTGCATCGGCAGGCGGACTCCCAGCCACTGAGCCACCAGGGAAGCCCTACATAATGTTTTAATGTCTTGTAGAACTAGTCCCTCCTCACAGTTTTCCTTTTTTGGTGTTTTTGGAGCTATTTCTTCCAAGCTTATGTTTCTATGAACTTCAGAATCAACCTTTCTCACTCATCTAGAATGCTGAGCTGTGCTATCCAAGGACAGCGCACACCTTTCCATTTCATGTCTGCTTTTAAGGCTTTCCGGAATGTTTAAAAAGTTTCCCCTAATAGGTTTTTGCACGTTTCCTGTTAATTTTATTCCTAAGTATTTAATCTTTTTGTTGCTATTGTAAAGGGTTTTTAAAAAAACACCATTATATTCTCTAACCTTTTACTGTTTGTGTATATGAAGGCTATTGGTTTTTATATTTTAATTTTTTGTATTTTTAATTTACGCTACCTTACTGAATTCTTAGATTCTTAACTCTTTCTTATTACACCCTTATTTTAAGCTTCAGTTACTGATACAACCTTACAGCACCTATCATTTCACTCAGGAAAGGAGAATTTTCGCAAGACCACCGAAAAAGCCGCCACATTCTTTCTAAAGCATTTATTAAGTGATTAAATCACAAGCAAACACTTCACACCTGCAAAATTACCGCTAAAGATGCTGAAATCCATTCTAATTCTTAGGGTTAATCTGGCGACTTCAGCCTCTGGTAAGTCTAAAAACCCCATTTTTAACAGAATAAACAGTAGGTGCCTACAACCCAAAGATACGGGAATCAACTTTCCAAATGGACTAAAACACAGATGAGCCAGACATAACTTAGGAACACCTCTTGGATACCAACCAATGTTCAAGATTATGGAAAAAAGCACTCTAAAATGCATGTGTGGGGTCTTCCCTGGCGGTCCAGTGGTTAAGACTCCGAGCTTCCACTGCAGGGGGCATGGGTTCGATCCCTGGCCAGGGAACTAAGATCCCAGCATGTCGTGGCCAAAAAAAAAGAAAAAAAGAGAGAGAGAGAAAGAGCACTTGTAACGCTCTGTAAGGCTCCCAGACTTCCTCTGACTTCAGATACTTGGTGTGACAATGGATGCTAACTTTATGGCCCTAAGTCTGCTAAGAACGTCACCGTCTACCCAAGCTTAGCTCCCTGGATACTGTCAACCAATTCTGACGAGCCTACATGAGGTCCTTCAGAATGACTATAAACATATTCACAAATTATCCAGGCCACGCAGTATTTTCTTTTACAGCACTGTTTCAATAATTTTTGCATGGACCACTCTGATATGCATTTTTAATGTTCCTGCCGAGAGTACAAATTCTGGATCATCACTACAGGGACAAAGTAATGAGATCGAGATAAACAAAATCTTTAATCATAAGGTGTGAAAAAGACACTGAGGTGTAAATGAGGACTTTTTTTGAGGAGGGCTTGAAACACGAGTGGAGACTATAAAGCTTAAACTAATCTGAATAATTTCCTCCCAGTAAGCACAGATGCTGCCGTCGGGTTCGCGCCGAGGCTCACAGAAGGGGAAGGGAGAAGGAAGCAGGCCTTCTCCGTCAGTCCACACTCCCACCGACCAGAAGAGCCATTACAGCAGGAAGACCAGGCAAACTCTACACAGGGGTCCTTTCTCATCCACCTGAGAACCTCAAGTTCACTCTTTGAAGAAAAGCTTAGTGTGAATACACGCTTTCCGTCTGAGCGCCGGGAGTGCTCGCACTCTGCTGAGGGTCGCGACAACTGGGAGCCCTTCATTCTATAACATAATCTTTAAATTCCTCTTGTCCAGGGACCTATCAGAGATCACACCCCAATTTCCACGAAGCACCGTGCGTCACACATCACTGAGACTGTAAAAGGTGGTGAGAGTGAGGGATCATCAGAAGATTAAGATCCATGTGGGAGCCCAGGAACCTAAGTCAGCCAGGGGACTCATACCCACAACAAGCATTACAGAATGGATTTTCTCTGAAAGTTTATTTCCTCCACGTATGAAAGCAGAAGCTCGAAAGTTCGAAAAACATGATTCTCTGTTCAAAAGCTTTAATGGGAAAGAAAATCTTCAAAGAGGATCATCTAAAGACAAATTTTTCAAACAGAATGGATAAACAGAATAGATTTTCTTTCCTCCAGGCTCCCAGAGTTTCAAAAACAGTGACACGATCAACTCTGGTTTGGAAACCCCCCAAATTCAAAGACAAAGAGCTCATGTGCATTAGGTTACAGGGAGATATGAGGGAAAATATCAATTATTATCTTATTTAACCTAATTTAGTCTGTCTAGACCATATACCCATTAGAAATACAGGATATCAGTCGCCATAAGTCTCATATCATAAAATCTAATTTTATTGTTAGTTTAATTTTAATTTACTTAAAAGCTGTATGAAGCATCTCTGACAAGACGTGACAGTGGTGGTGTGCGGGTGATGAACTCTGTGCTCTGTAAAACTCACAGGATGAAAAGCCAGAAAAAACCCTCAATTTCTCTGACTTACTTTAACTCTGATCAACACCACTGCCTTATCCACTGACGACTTCTGTGAAGTAGAAACAATCCTACTTACAGGTATTCACTTAACAGAGATCATACGATATTCTTTGATGAAGTATAACTAAGTATATCCATAAAGAAAAAAGTCCTTACATTTCAGTGTGTGTTGGGGGATTTCCAGTTTTTCTGAAATTAACATAATTTCTTTAGAAAGCATTAGAAAGAACAGCTGAATAACTTACTTTGGGATGATTAAGGCAGGGAAAATACAAGAGACACAGACAGACAGGGCTGCTTTATTCTGTCTTGCTTGAAAAGGACCAATTACAGATTAAACTAAGATTCAATCTATGAAGTTAGGCCAAAGGGGGACATTCTCAAGTGGGCTGTATGAAGTTAGCTTTCTAAAGCCATTTTCGTTAGGAAATTTAATTTCTCTAGTTCCCTTTCCCAAGGTGAATAAGGACAGACCTGTTGGGTTAACCTGGGTTTGTACCCTGACTCTAAGTGGTTCTGGATTAACCTTTAATCCAACCCAAAATGGTAGCCTCTGACTTCCTAAGGAATCTTTTGCTCTCTCTCCTTAATCATTCTCTAGCCTTTTAGTCTCTGCCGCCCTCCCTGGTTTTCCTCACTCCTCTTTCTCTCATTTCACCCCACTTGGCAAAAACACGATCCTTCTATAACTTGGCTGAGAAGGGAAGATCCAAAGGAGAGCATGGAGGAGAAAGGATAAACTGAGAAACACATGCTCCTGGTCTTAAGGGTCGACTGGAGACATGAGGCTTGGACAGTCAGGAAGGCTCCTACTAGGAAGAACTGGGGACAGGGACTGTCTGGGAAGGAGGGAGTTCTGAGGAGAGCTCTGGAGAAGTGCCCCTTTCTCACAGGGTTTTTCACAAAACCACAGCTGAAAGGAAAAAGAAAACTGCACCACTGGCCTTTTTCCGAGCGTGGCCGCCTTCCGCTCGGCTCAGTGCCCGCCACACGCCCAGGAGTGCGTCTGGATCCTGGAGGGCTCCCTTCGCAGGTGACAGTGCTTACGCTACACTGGAAGAGAGCCAGAAAAGCGCCCATGAGAACGAGAAAGCAAACTTCCACCAGCAGGATCATCTCTCTAGGCACCTAAGATGGGGAATCAACACAGATATCTCGGCAGCGTTGGATGTCAGGGAAAGCGAGGGAGAGATAATGCCCCCTCCCCAGCTCAATATAATGGTGGTGGGAGGCAAGAAAAAATGTATCTTCTGTGACACATCTGCTGGGAGCAAGACAGAAGAGACTAAGTCAAGGCCAAATGTCTTCATTTCTAACAGACACAAGAAGTGACTAAAAGAAGAAAGTGACCTGGGGCCTAAGTCTAGTCATATAAGAAAGGCTCTGCTACACTGGCTGGCCTGGAGAATTAAAGCTTCAGAATGGAAGCAACACCTTCCACCGCTCAGGTGAGGCTGCTCTTAGAGGACGGTAAACAGAGAGGAAAGAAAAGCAAATAACTTCGCTCTAAGATGTAAAAAAAGTCAAGCATAAATACACCAAAAAAAGAGAGCTGACATTGTCAAAAGTCACGATCTCGTAATAAGTCACACGAAAAAGAGCTCATAAAGCTGAGAGAACATTAGACTTTGACGTAAGAGACCTTTGGCAGTTCACAAACTTTCCTTCTCTTTAATTACTGTGTTCATAAGATGCTTGATATGATCCCACCTAGTAAACAAAATGGAATTAGAAGAATGCTCTAACAGATCAAAAAGACTAATTCTTACTTTACTGAGGTAGAGCTAAATTCCTACAAACCCTGTTGATAAAACTCAAACTCTCAGTCTTCCTAAGGAAACAAAAGGGTACCAATGCTCTGTTGGAATACTGTATAGCAGAGGAACCTCCAACTTTCAAGTAATAAGTTTCTCAGTTCAGGATGTGAGTGCTGTCTGAAGAAGGCGGCTAGTGGCACCATCTCCTCTGCCACTGAGCCCTGTGAAATAGGCTTTCACTAGTGAGAAAGGTTTGCTGGGTTTCCCTCACATTCCAAGTGACGAGGGAAAACAGCAAGCACAGGGACTGAAGAAGACCATCCCAGGAGAGCAGGCTGGTGGGCGCAGCCTATCTTCATCCTTTCAAAATCAGCCCACTATACAAGTCAGGTGGGTCTCTGACATACATACCGTTTCTTGGCTTAAGAGGACAGGTTCCCATTCTGGGAAACATGGTAAGTGATAACAGGCAAGTTATTTCCCGGAAAATACCAGCTGGCAGACTGAATGACCTGGATGTACTTTGGGCTCTAGCACCTCAATTTTCTAAGATAACTGCTTCTTAAAATCTCCTCTACTCCAGAATCTGGTCAGAGCATGGCCACCTCTCTTATCTGTCCACTTAACAGAGAGTTGACAGCTGACCTGTGTCTTTCCCCCCAAATTAAATTAGAAATTGTTCCCTTTGTCAAAGGGAATAGATGGGTTAATCTTCAGGATCAGTTGGGACCAGCCTCCCACGTGAGGCAATAATAAGGCTCCTAAAGGCAGTGTGGCTATTTGAGGGGACAGAGGGACTAGACACAACCAGATCTGGTTGTCATCCAATCTTGGGCCTCTTGGAACCAAAAAAGGATTGAAAGAACACACATAATAATAGACACCAACTCCCAGATCCCCCATCAACTCCAAGTTTTAAGGAAATGTGTTTCCTAGGACCAGAAAGCAAGGTTTCTTCTACTAGGATAAAACTGAAACGTGAAGCAGCTCCAAAGGCGTGGAAAAGATTCATTCACTTGCAGGAACGGCTGCTCGCCTAGGCCTGCAGGGTGTTCTAACAGTGGGAGCAATGCCCTGCGTGCGTCCTCAGGACAGACTGCTGGCTAAAGCCGGGCTGGGAAGGCATGTACTCTGCTTTCATTAAAGGAAAAGAAACTGGTCGCGCAAAGGAAATGTGTGACATTCAGACTGAAGAGAAGACAGGAGGTACTCGGGACCCCACAGCTAAAAACAACTTGTGAAAGGCCACCAGAAGAGGAAAGGAGAGAAGCACGGTACTGTATCTGAGGAACGGATCACCATCCGCCATCTCAAAAAGAGGTTACTGAAAGGGGTGGATTTCTATAGTTTTTCAATAAACAAAAGAAATTAGACTATTTAAAAACACAAACAACCCCCAAAGGGTCCAAAGTACCACATTCAACTCCACAGACTTGATTCAACCTTGCACATCACATCCCAAACCTGTGAGCCACGTGCCTTCCTACTGGGTCACCAACAGCAGGCTGCTGTGTCAAAGCCTCTCCACGGCTCGCAGCACACTGGTAACAGGTTGCCGGTAACTTATGGGGCGTGTGTGTGAGAGGGAGAGAGAGAATCTATTCCCATCAGTGGCCTAGATCAAATGCAAAATTCTGCACTTCTGTTTAATTTCTTATTTTGAGACCCAAAAAGACGAAGTAGGACAGCAGAACTTCAAGAAGACCTCAAGAAGATGATAACTGACTTTGCCTAGATGAGACCATGGTGTTGGCTAGAGTCGAAGGGATCAGAGCCCAATTGGAGCTGCTGCTGGACAGTTCAAACACGAGCGAAGGTTCACCTTTTGTAGGAAAGCACCAGACCTATGCCTGGGGCACCGGGAACCCTGGGTGTCACTCAGGGAAGGTACCGGACCTTCAACTTTATTCAAGTAGCAACTTGAATGTGATGAGGTTCCTTTGCTCTGTCACCCTTTCTCCTTCACACGCAAGGGAGGCAGACACGTTAGCGTGAATAAAGGAATTTCACCTAGTAGGCTGTAATAACTCCTACAGGTCAATCTGTGCACAGCTCCTCTTATAGGATCTGACATTTCACAAGACAATGACAATTACAACTGGGCCTTCAAAATGGTCCTTAACCTGCTAGATCCCAAATCGCAACGTATTTCCAATAGAGATAATTTAGTTCTTCAAGAGCTCTCTCATGCTGCGGGAGAATATAAAATTAAATTTAAGTGAGCTTTGTCTTAAGTTCTTTTCAATAAAAACCCTCAGTCCATAGGCGGGCCAACTCCTACGGACACTCTGAGAGGTGGTGGGACCAGCCTGCTGAGCTGGAGGAGTCCGCAGGTTTGGAGTTCTGCCACTGAAGCCCCGACAGCCCAGACGTATTCCTGACATAAACCCCGAGCGGATTTCCCTCCTCCTGTTTCAGGATCTAATGCTCTTCGGAGCGTGGCTGCCCCGGGCCTGGAGAAAGGCCCGCTCGGCAGGAACTGAAGGACAACCTCAAGTCAACGGCTTGTTTTCTCCTCCATCACTTTCAAGCTTCCAATAGGAGGAGGGGGACAAAGACACAAAGACAAAGGACGATCGGCTCCTCCGAACAGTGCCGGCCGCTCCGAAAACCGGCGGGGACGCGGCGGGGAGGGGAGGCGGCCGCACAGGCATGACTGATTCCCGGGGAAACATGTGGAGGCCCCGCCAGGCCCCCAGCTGACAGCCGCGCCCAGGCCCACCGTCCGGCGGAGAACGCGCCCCCGCCCCAGCCCCCGCCCCCACTCCGGCCTCGCGCTCCGGCCCGGTGCCCCCGGCCCCGCGCTCCGCCCGGCCGGGCCCCAGCGGCCCCAGGCCTCCCCGGCCCCCGACCTCCCCGGGCCCAGCCTCCGGCCGAAGCGCGGCCAGTGGTCAGCGCGGCCCAGACCCGCCGCCCTCGCGACGGCCCGCCTCACTCACCCTCCGTCACCTCCAGCACCTTAATCTGCTCCTCGGCGGCCGCCCGCACCTCCTGCACCGGGGACAGGATCCCGGTGAGCGTGTCCACCAACGCCTCCTTCAGCCCCTGGGCCACCGGCCCCGGCAGCCCGGAGGCCGCACCAGCTGCCGCCGCCGCCGCCATCTTGCTCCGCGCCGCGCGCCAGCCCCGCGGCCCAACCCGCCGCCGCCGGACGGCTCCTGCGCGCGGCCAATCCGCGACGCCGCGCCTGCGCACTGGCCGGGCTAGCGCGCGAGGGCGGGGCCGAGGCCCGAGCCTCCGGAGACAGCGCCACCTGCCGCGGGAACGAGAACTGCACAGTCTCCGCAGGAACCTGGCCGGGGGGCCAGGAAGTGGGGTTTCTCCTGCGGCTTAACGGCGGCTGAGCAGCCTTGCCGGGAGCGCAGCTCGTGACCTCTGACTCCACGTGCACCGGTTCTGCACGCGTAAGATACTAAGTCAGGAGAGGGTGGGATGGGGATGGGTGGACGAGGCTTTAAGGAGAGGGTCGGAATTAGCTTCTCTTTCAAACCAACCGCTTTTGCCCCGAAACAAGTGAGAGTCTTCATCTCTTAGCCTCAGGAATCCAAAGGTCGGGGGAAGGAATCTGCGTCGACTGGGCGGTGGGGAGTCCATTGGTTTTTCAGGTGGATGAACCCAACCTCAAGGTTGGACCGTGGCTGGCCAGGAGAGAGCAGCGTGGGAAAGGGAATTCCGTCCGGGGTAAGTGCTTACAAGTCCTATTGAGAGTAAGTCCTACTAGCTGAGAAAGTATAAAGTTTTTTTCCAGGGAAATTATGGCTGGACCTTACAGGGTGGAGGGCTAAGTAGTTAGTATGGCCATCCCGGGCTGCTCGGGGACATGGCTCAAGATGCAGAGACACTCCTAAAGCCTGGAGCAAGCGGAGAGGATTGTTGAGAGAGGGGTTAGCAGTGCAGGCAGGGCAGGGGCAAGCACGCGGCGGCACAGGGATGGGGCTGTCGTTGGAGTGCCAGGGTCAGAGCAAATGGGAACAGGCATTTCTTAGTAAGCTGTTCAGGTTAAGTGCCTTGAAAACGTTTCTAGGAACCACGACTCCTTCCCAAGTGGCAAAGGAAACTAGTTAGCAATTTCTAGCCCAGTTCTAAGACTTCAGAGGCTAAGCTGATCACAGGAATTAAGTCACCTCGGCTGAGTATTCTTCCGAAAGAATGATTCCTCGATTATTTATTTTGAGGAGAGCTCTAAACCCACTTGCCACCTCCTACTAGAGGGCAGAGGTGGCTTGTGTCACCACAATTTCGTGGGGGAAAGATGCCCTTTTGGACACCACAGTTCCACAGTAGGGCAGAGTAGGACTTCCTATTTTCCTTCTTTCAGTGGCCAGAAGCAGAACTCTATTAGAACAGCTTCTTTTCTCAGAGGTTTAGTCACTTTTACCCCAAGAAGAAAACTTAGGCAAGTCCAGAGGGTGGTATGTTTTCAAACATCGAGGCAGTGGAGGGAGGATTCAAAGAGCCCCGAGGTCTGGGCTGGACGGTTCGAGTTCTGGTGAAGGAGGCTGCGTCCAGTCTGCAAGCAGGACCCCCCCCCACCCTCAACCAAAGGGGCCGAGAGAGTCCTGCTTAGGACTGGGGATCAGATATCCAGGCAGCTGGCTCTTACCTCTGGGTTTGGCAAATGACCTTCCCGATAAAAGGCACAGGCCAGAAGATAAAGGGAAACAGAAACCAGACAGAGGGAGCTGGAGAGAGCAATAGGGCAACACAGAAGATAGCTTTATTGAAATGCAAATGGCGTCAAACAGGTGACTCTTGGTGGGAGGAGACATGCCTGATGGACAGAGGGCCCAGGTGAGGGGCCTCCGGCAGTGATGGAGGAAGGCCTCTTCTGTGGCCCGGCATGGACTTAACTTTCAACCACTTTGTTATTGAAGATGAATCACCGAGGGCACGGCCCAGCTCTCTTTGTGATTGTTACCGCAACTATGTACAACGGCTCACTTTCTCTACATCAGATATAAAGGGGGGTAGGTTGAAAGAGGGAGGGCCAGTGATAAAAACCATAAACACAGACACACACACATATCCAGGTTTGGGGGTTTGTGCACAATAAATTTAAAAAAAAAAGTGTTACAAAGATTCCTGCCCACCTTCCACCTGAGGATCGCCATGCGTTTGAGAAACAAGATTCCATCACACAAACAGCGCTGCCTAAAACGGGGACGGGTGCGTTAGGGACAAGGAAAGGAACCCAGCAGGGGCTGGAATTCATTTGAGAAAAAGATTGTTCTGTTAAAAAAAAAAACACACCAAAACCCAAAAAACAGCAAGTGGGAGGCCCTCGCACAGCAGTGGCCCAGAGACGGGCTGGGATGGGACTGGGATGGGAACCCCTGCCTTCCCATCCACATCTTCTGTCTGGAGACACAAGACATGGCCTGGATGCGGGGAGAGCCCGCAGGAGCTGGACGAAGGGCCCGGGGCGACTTTAGTGCAGTGCTTCACTCGCCTTCTCGTGCTCTTCCAGCTGCTTGGTCCCCGAGCCCAGGAGGCCCAATGCCAGATGGTTCTTCGTCCTCCACCCACAAGTGCTCTCATGAGGAAAACGGACAAACTTGGAACAAAACCAGTTGTACGCACCTCATCTCCCACAAGGCCCCACCAGTGGGGGTCTGTGAGTTTGGAAAGGTATGAAGCTCCTTTTAGATTAAAAAAAATTTGTTTTTATTCTGTCGCCATGAGTAGTTGTGTGTCCCGGTGCGGGGAGAGGATGGATGACCCCGACGACTTGGTACTCCGCTGCCTCAACCTTTCTCCTGCGGACTGAGCAGGGCCGGGGTGTGTGTGTGGTGGGGGGGGGGGGCAGGCAGGAGGTTCTCGCAGGTTCTCAGACCTGGCAGTGCCCTTTAGAACTGGGGCAAGGGCGAGGGATGCTGCTAAGAGAACAAGTTTTCATGGAAATGCAAGTCACATTTTTAAGCCATTCTCATCCTATTATATCACCAGAAAAAGGCTGAGTAGACACGTCACCCAGCCGAAGAGCTACCTGGAAGAGCTCTCCCACTACATCCCCCTGGGAAGCCCCTAGGAATCTCAGAGCCATGACATTTCTCTCTGAAGGTTGTGTTTGACTAGGAGATGCAAGCATTCCCCCCTAACTTCTGCCCAAAGGCACACATACCCGTCCTTTCTGTTAAATGAAAGGAAGAACAGAATCATGAGGAAGCACGAGAACACTCTGAAACTGATGTTAAAGTCTGAATTATAACCGAGGACCTTATTTTTGGTCCTAAAGCCCCAGTGTGGGGACTCTGACCCTTGGCTTTCCCTAACACAGTGAGCTGCAAACTGTAGTGTGCAGCAGAATTACCAAGAGGTTCGTTAAGACACGAATCACTGGGGCTTCTCCCCAGTTTCTGATTCAACAGGTCCGGGATGGGTTCTGAGAACTTCATTTCTAACAAGTCCTCAGATGCTGCCAACGCTACTGGTCTGGAAACATATGTAAGAACATATTAAGAAATGAAAGAGGTGGGCGTCAGCTCCCAGTTCCGACGCAGAAAATATAGCAGCACACAATATGTTGTTTTGGCAGAAAGCTATGAATTTGAGTAGGGAATGTCTGTCACGGGGGCCTATCCAATTAACTCACTTGTCTAGAAATCAGAATAAATAGTTGAGAGGAGGCAAAAAAAAGAAAGAAAAAAGAAATGAAAGAGGTGAGAATTCCCTGGCGGTCCAGTGGTTAGGACTCAGCACTTTCACTGCTGTGGCCTGGGTTCAATCCCTGGTCAGGGAACTAAGATCCTGCAAGCCGAGGGGCACAGCCAAAAAAAAAAAAAAAAAAAGAAGAGATGAATCAAGGGGCCAAGTGTTCACTTACTTCCATGACCATGCCTATCACGCAAAACTCTCCGTGGCATAACCACTAAGAACCAAAACACCAAACTGGGAGGATCCAGTACACACAGGCTAATTTCCCACTGTGTTGGTATTTCTGCAGCTTCCAAATCTCTCTTGGTGGCCTCACATTCAGACTATGCCGTCTCTCGCAGGGTCTGTGGCTGGAGCTGACACGCACGCAAGGACCCTCAGCAGTGGGCAAGCCAAGGTGGCGGCCCCCTATACCCCTGATCAGGTTGACTGAGGGCTCATGAATATATAAAATGGATTCAATCATAAAGGGCATTCTCCTCAGGCTTTGGCCTTCTGGGAACACAGTGTCCCTAAGACCATTTTCTTACGGCCTCTTTGGTGGGGGCCGTGGACAGAACTCACTAGTAGTTATCAGTCATCATAAGAGAGTACTGGGGTTCCACTAGTGAACCCTCTGGAAGCGCACATTTCATCCCATCCGTTGAGGGGGGTTGCTTACTAGTGGACTAGAGTCTACTTACTAGCTTCAGCTTCGGTAAGGCTTCCCTTAGGTAAGGGAAAAAAGTATGATGAGAAGTTACATTTGGTGACCCAGATGACTTTAGCCCTAGGAAGAATGCCTCGTCTAATGTGTGATTAGGACAGGTGCACTTCCTCTCCCAAACGCCTTGCAATAAAGGGTCCCTAACGTAGCACGGAGGCTCGCCCTGATCCCAGCTCACGGGGCCAAGCCCCACTCATGCAGGCAACTTTCACCCCTGGGCAGCGTTGGTGTGTGTGAGGTGCTGGTGGGAAGGCGCAGGTCACCGCCGCTTTCTTCCCCCTCTTGGAAGAGTACAGGATATAAAGTGACCTCAGAGACTGAAGAGTGCCCCTCTTGTCTCAGGGAGCTAGGAGCGAAGAAATGGTGAGATTAGGCCCAAACCAGGAAAACCAGAAAGCAAGAAATAAAAATTTTTTAAAAAATCACTATTTTGTCTTGGGTCCTTAAGGAGTATGGATAGATGAGTGGAGAAGGTTGGTAATTCAGAACCAAAGCTTAGCATGTGACCAAAGCTTAGCATGTCAATCACTAAGGACTCTGCAGTAGGGGCTCCCCAGGGCCTCAGGAAACCCAACTTCCCTGCAGCTTCCCGAGGCTTCGACCACGTGACAAAGATGCTGGGCTGACACTCAACGCACACACAGAGATAAGCACCGCAGAGCTGCCTCAAAGCAGAGGTTTTAAAAAATACTCGATGAAGCTCAGAAAATAGGGAGTGGCAGCAGTCAGCTGCTCTTGTGAGAGAGACACACACAGACATCG